ATACTTAACTCCTAGTAATAAACAAAACAAACTGTCTATAATTTTTCTACTGGTCAAGATCTACAGAAATTAAAAGCCACAAAATATTGAAATACAATAAAAATGAAAATTTGAATTGCCAAAACTTTAAAAAAAAGGACCTTATTATCCAGGAAAGCTTCATCTCATTCTAGTTTTACAATACAACCAGGTCTACTCTACATGTATACTATCGGCCTAATTTTGAATCATACATGAACTGAGAGAGTTTGAACATCAGACTATCCGTAGTCTTGATTGGACAGTTGCTTCCTTGAGGCATGGTTGAGGGCATATGTCAGGGTCAAATATGCCTTGACCTGGACCAAAGGTCAATTGGTCTGGCTTACCAAGTGACCTCAAAACTGTAAATGCCAATCTTTGAGATCCAACAGTAAGCTCTTTTTAATGCTCTTTTTATTTATTACAGATATCGAAAAAAAATAAAAAATAAAAGACATGTGGTAAACTGCCTATACATCTATGTACAATTTATTTTGGCTTTCCATGGATATATCTAGATAATAAAAGAATTTGTTTTCTTTTATTTAAAAAAATATCCCAAATAAGAACATACATACAGAATTTAAGATGAACCTGTACCAGGAAATTAGTCTATAAGAAATGCGGCATGATTTTGTTTTCTATTCAGAACGAAGAAATGGGTTGGGTATTAACAGTTCATTGTACTTTTCTATTTCCTATGAAGTCAACATGATCTACATCCCTAACCATAATTAACAGTAAGAAGAAAATAACTACCAATCAAGTGGCATTACACAGGACCCATTCCATTCAGAGAATCCCCAATTAATACCCATACAAAGTCGATCTTGTGCTTCTGTCAAATTAAACCACACACCAACCCAACACCATACCAAGGCAGACAAAATATGCAGATAACTCTCATTACCGGATTAAATCAGGCATGGGGAGTGAATCCCTACCGATTCTAGACCAATTTAAAGGGTCACTGACATTGTAAAATACAGCAACTATATCTTTCTCCTTCTTGAGTTGAGAATAACCCAAGACAAAGCCATAGAAGAGCACTGGAGTATATACAGCAGTTTCCTGTTGATGTTTTTCTTACTGATTCTTCTTTCCTTGTGCTTTGTATCAACATCCTTCTTACAAGTATCATCAATCTTCTGCCTCATTAATTTCCTCGTCATTAGGCAGATATTTCAGGGTTTCTTTTATATTTGGCTCAAGCATACATATTTCTTGGGGACCAATGACGTTAACTTTCTTTACATTTATTTTCTGTGTGAGTATGAGTGCGTATGTTTGTCAACATGAAGTAAATTGGATATGAAATACCACATTTTTCTAACCAAAACCATTTCAGTTGTTTTCCCAAATTTTACAAAGCACAGTTGGTAACAATTCTATCTTTGTTCTATATCTTTATTCAAAATTATGCAAACTCAATAAAACCTAATGATTCACAACATGGCTTGCATAAATATGTAACTATTTTATAATGGTACTTATTATTTCACACAGGAAAAAAACTAGTTCATAGGATACAACCACTTGCTAAAGCATTGATTAGTGTGGTATCCTTGATAAACCACTTATTCAACTTTTTGATGACCAGTTTTAACTTGAAAAGATTCCTCCTAATTGAGTTTTTGACTTGCATTGTGCTTCCTCTATGGAAGGCAGAAAACCACAATTGGCACTAAATACGTGTAGATACCGCTTTACAGTTATCCCGTTCAAGTGGCATAAGTTTATAATATTCAAAACAGGAGACGTACCCCTGTATACATGTATCGCATGTACAGTACCCTGGATTGTACTTGTATCATACTTTCTGAAGTCCATGCCATGTTAGACAGTCAACCAGTACTTCCAAAATTAAATGTGATTTCATTTGCTTGAAAAGTTAAAACAGATGTCACATAAAAGTGAATAAAGTCGTCTACAAACATATAAAGAAAGTCTTTTTTATGGTTAGTTCATAATAATACAGTGACTTGGAATCAAATCTTTACATCAAATTGTATCATACCTCTCATTTCCTCCCTCGAAGTAAAATCTGCATCTAAGATTTCTTTTTTCTTCCAATAATGAACAGCCTAAGTTCATTTACCTACAGGTACGCTCTTCATCTAAAGCATGTAATACCAGGACCGTATTCACATGAAATTGATGCCTCAAGGCGATTCCTAAACTCATTTCTCTACCAATCACCCACTCCCGTGCTCCCTTTATTCAGTTTACCATCGCAGCATTAGTGACATAGTCGTGGACATTAGGTTAATGCTAGGTTAGACCAAAGTAAGTACTACGCACTCTTCCAGTAAGCTGGCTGCGTACAATCATCCCTGGTTCATCTCGTTTCATCAAAATCAATGATTTACGACATCTTGGATGAGAGCGGAGAGCACGCTGCCATTACGGCGAAGTCTGTCCCAAAGATGTCGGGAAGACATGCGAGGGCCATTTTGGAAAACAAGCAATGTACTTATGAAATTGATGGTAAATTGGGGAACCAGTGTGGCCATGTGACTCACTCATTACAGAGCACCATCACAATTTAGTTTTCTGCCATTTTCCTCAAGATATGCGTTTCGGTCCCAAGGGGAAGATATGCGAGGATATATATGAAAGGGTTACATTGTACATGGAAATGGAAATATAAATGATAATATATGCAAAAGGCTTAGAGCCAAGTAATTTCACAGAGAACAAAATCTTGGTTCACACTTCAAAGATTAGTGGTCCTCAAAACGCACCCAAAGTGAACATTCTCAAATTGTCCAGTAGTCTACATGTACCTGTTCATTGGTCTAAATGGAATGAGGGTAACACATTTTCCACTGCAGATGCTATTGAAACGCCTAAAACATACAGTTAATCAGAATAACCAGGGCTGCACATGGGCTACATTCTAAGTAACTAAAGGTGTCAAAGTTTACAGAATGTAAAAACTTTTTCACTTCTGATTTCCTCATGGGTAAACCAGACAACTAACTTCAGGGATCACACTATTCTTGAACGTATAACTGTCAACCACAAGATCGTTCTTCGATGTAGAACAATATTGCATATATGACAAAATTTCACTATCAGACAATAAAATCTAATAGAAAGCAATGCGACAATTTGTTCTTGAAATTTTATTTTTGAAAGACTGGGTGAAATGTGGAGTGTATTGAATTTTGAATGGCATTGATAGTTCGATACCCTGCATGCAGCACCTCAAATGAAAGAGGAATCCAAACATTCTGAATATATCGCGAGGTATTGTTGGCAGCTGAAAACAAATCAATCACTCTTTTCAAAGGTCTAGGATCAATGCACAATTTGGCTTTAAATGCCAGCTTAGTGTTTGCATGCTGTTACCTTCGCAAAAATCACTTCACATGTCAACAGCTGAGAGTTAGAGAATACTGAAAATCATTTTCATATTTTGTCCGATTTCAGAGCAACGCATGAAAATGTTTGCCTACATGTATATCTAATAATTGTAATTGAAGTTTTAGAATACCAAAATGTTTTCAAACAAGGTGATTTTAATCCGTGTAACATCAGTTATTTATAATACCAAAAATAATATTCAATAATATTTTGCAGCCTTTTTCTGATCATTTGGAAGTCAAAAACTATTCAAACACACATCCTTATGGATGGGACTACAGGGGGAGTCTGATTGGGTTTGATAATGAATGAGGCATGGAGAACAATTGTGATCAATCACACAATCTGTTCGTCTACATGCTCTCCATCTAAATGTAATCCTCATCCTAGAACCCAAGCATAAGGAGCAAAGCATAATTTACAAATTGCTTCCACGGTGCTGTGCCAGATCTGTGCATCCCGCCGCGTAAACATATCACGGGGCATGTGTACTCAATCAATCTCAATGGCCCTACACTATCTATCGCCGGTTTGTATTCTAATATCTACCAACTCCCTAGCACATCGGACTGGTCTCACTTTCATCATATCCAGCAACATTCTCACAAAACACATGCTCTCATTGTCAGCATTCATGTCAAATGTGTGCATGACACCATCATCACTGGGGGTACATGTGTGCGTGTGATGGTCGAGTCTGAGACGACTCGGAATAACTCGGCAGTGAAAACATGCTTTTAAAGATGGTATCGCTATTAAACCCAAGACTTGTGGACTCAATTTACCCAGCAGGCTATCACCACCTCTGCATAACTAAGTGTGTCACTGCGCACAATCGAAACAGATGTAAAGCGTAAGTGCAGGGGAGGTTCCCCGAGCGAGTAACGTGCATCTGTAGAACTAATCCCGCGACTATGGATGGGGAATACTCCGCCAACAAACACGTCACCCACAGAAACCATAATTGACGAGTTGTCTGTCACATTTTATTTGGGACCGGCTCGCATCCTCATATTCACTGCGAACTCTTTGTACTTGACATACATACAATGAAAGGGACAAATTCAATTTACACGTTTCAGTGAAAATTTAGTAGTAAATTTGAGAATCCAGACGGATTTCCCATGGGGTATGGCCACTGATAGACGGGCTGAATTTGATTCCATACTACATGTACATGAAGTACTGTCCTTGTGTGATGCATCATCAGACTTAGACAACATACATGAACATGAACATGCATGTCCTGATGTACACATTCAACCTGACATCAGATTGTATCAATCACAAAATATCCACCACACTGACATGGGTGTTACCAAATTCAAGCTAACAACCAAAACACTACTTTCTACTTACCGGTAGAATTTTGATTAACTAATTTCCTTGAGGAATATATATTACTTTATCATAAATATTTAAAATAAAGCATTCTTATAAAGTTGGTAGTCTTGTACAAAAAAACAATGACCTTTATAAGTCTACTTTCCTGTAAATTTCAAAAAGCAAACATCTTGAGTAAAACATAATTTCAGTTAAAGGGACATCCTTTGTCCTATTCATGAATGAATCAAAAGCTTTGAAATTAAGATGTTCATGGAAGATGTAGCATTTTAAAGTTTAAAACTTCAGAATATCAGTAAAAAAATCCCTGATACTCCCTTTAATTGGACTCACCTCAATCATCCTGTCATGTACCTGAAGCTGTGATCTGTCTGCAGGACCTTTCTCATTCACTCTTGATACAATTATTCCTTCCGAGATACCACCATCACCCTGTACGGAAAACCAAGGGAAAAGGGATATATAACAATGTCACATTATACATTTTCTCGTTCTCAGTACTCAACTTTACACTTCTGAAGAAAATAGAAAGATGATACAAATTCAATTGATAAAATAACTTAGTGTAAATTTGTTTAGGAGTCTTTAGACGATGTTATGTAATTTCTGCAAAGTACTGATATAACAATTTCATTGGAATCCAGAGTATGATACATTACAACTGTGTTGGATGGCTGTAATCTATTACATCTACATGTATGAACAGGTATAGAGTTCTGATTCCGGGTACATTTAAACTTATGCCTGGTAAAATCATTGTTATTGCTCTTAAAAAAGACAGGCACCATGTGGCTTGATGAGCATGCTCAAAATATATTTTGGGAGTGTGATAAAAATGAAAAGGGGAAAAACAAATTAGGGGTGACAGGTGAAGAGGTGAGGAATACAAACAAATAAATGTAAACATTGATAAATGTGTTATTGATTGTGAAAACATCCAAGTGGTGAGTTCTGCAGTCAGGGGGAGGGGGAGGACCACAAATTCTGCAGGCCTGCTTGCCTACATACACGTGGCCTACATTCCTTTATTTTTCCTTTTGGCACATTACTCATACCACATCGAGGCATCCAAAAGAAAATATTTTCTTCCAGACAGAAAAGGGAAGGGTTATAAAATGAAAACATTTTCAAGGCAACTATTCACACCTTAAAATACTGGTTACATATTGTCCTAACTACAATAACACATCTAGGCTAAATTCAATATTATTTGACAATACAATGAATACATCTACAGAAAGCAATAGGAGGACAAATATGAATATAAATCTAGAATAACAAGGGGGTGGGGAGGGAGGCAAGGAAAAACTGGAATTCCCTCTCCCATCATCTGCACTAAGATTTCAAACTCCTGTTCCTCTTGTCTCAAAAATAGTCATCCCTCATTTATACTTGTCAAGCACAAAGATGACATTTCCCAAAGGCTATCTGAAAGATGTGACAGGTTCTTCTCGTTCTTCTTGGTAGAAGAGGTTGGACCGCATCTCTAGAAGAGATGAGAACAAGGAAAGAAGGAGGAAGCAAGGCCTGCATCGTCTCTCTTCCAGGGATGCCATCCCAGCTCCCATCTGCATATCTATCAACTTTGGACATTCCTGAGCGAGATAGAATGCGATGTTTAGACAAGACCCAGTCATAGAGACATGACATGCTTTGGGCTCATCCTTAAGACAGAGGATTCACTGAGTAAAGCTTGCTGTATTTACAGCATTACTTTCTATTGACCCTCATTCTTTACTGCTCTTCCTGTTGTCGGGGGTAACCCAGAGTTCCAAAGGGCAAGGCATACAAATGATAAGGGGATACCCAACATGGAATCAAGAGTACATTTTATTAATGTATCAGAGAGAAAAGTACTACAAATATTGTGAAATCAGTAAATATTAAATGTACTGATTAGTCTGATTTAAAAGTTAAGATCCACTGTATGAATACAGTGGATCTTAACTTTTAAAACAGTACATTTAATAGAAAAACTAACAGAACAATTAGGGGAATTTTTTACAGTGATAGGCTTTAACCTATTTCGTATATTTATTATATCAGCTCATTATTAATAATCCTGGATTATCTGAGTGTTAATTATCAAATTGATCTAGTAAATGGTATTTTCAACCATGTTATACACTTCAATTTACAATGTACATTATAGTAACAGTAATACAATCAATGACTTGCAGCTGAAAACAATTATTTGATTGGTAAAACTCGCATCTCCCTGGTTGAAAAAAAGAATATTCAATTCCTATGAATAATAAAATATATCCCCATGATATTGTCTGGACTTCTTTGTTTTTTCTGAACTCCTGCCAAGTATGTTTGTCATGCCAAGAATTCTTCCTCTCCAACGAAGAATGTGTAACACTCTTCCTCTAAAAATCCAATTTATACATTTGATCCTTTCCTGGGGATTTGAAGCAACTTTTGTTCTCGAACTTTGACCCATGGAGATTACAGTTCTAATTTAGGCTCCCAACACAAGGTTTCTCGGCCCCAGACGTATTTGCCCCCAGAAATAAAGAGAATATTTTGTTTTGAACAGTCTTGAGGCTTTTTGAGATGTAGATCTTAGCTCCCAGATGTACCCTATTAACCTCCATATATAGTACATCATACATGTTGGCTGTATTACACTGTATTTGGCTTTTTATTTGACAACATGCATTATGTTGGAAAGATATTCTTAGCATCTATAGGATTTTGTTTGATAAGAATGTGTGTTGATTAAAATTCAAAGTTGAATTATGGAAATATACACAAACAATTTTTGTATTTCAATACTCCCTCTAGCTAAAGTCAGTTTTTCTTAGAACTGGCATGATAAATTTCAGAAAGAATTTGTTGATACTAAATTGAACAGGATGGATTTAGAACGAACTTGATTGCTTTTTATTCTCTTGGGTATGTACTACCCTAAAAAATAAAGATATGTACATGCCACAGAATTTGAAGGAACTTAAATTTGCTCTGGAAAAAAATAACCGATATGGAAAGAAGAATGAAGCAAAAATACATCTCATATTCTAAGATAATAGTTAAGGCTACACACTCTTTCAGTATAAAATGCAAGAATATGCCTATGGTTTTTTATGTGGAATATGAAAAAATCAGTCTACATGTACATGTCTGTGTTTGTACATGTTTGTTTATGGCCTTCAATGAACACTAGGACAAGCCTAGTTGTATGTTTTACACTGATTGATAACAATCAATGTAAGCTTACACAGGAATAGGGTGTGCAAACAATTTGTACGCTTCACCATATGCACACACAATGCAGTCTCGTCATGTAGGCCTATATTGTAAAGACAATCACAAAGTATATAGGTACATGTATGAAGTAGGCCTAAATTTATCAATTAGCTGCAACAGACTTGTGTAGACCCAGCTACATGTACATTCACTAATGAACATGAAGTTCAAATTAGCATGCATTTCTAGCAAAGTCCCATCTTCAAGATTTTGAGACCTGCAGGGCCTATGAAAACTTAACCACTTTTCTTCTTGTTTGTCAGATATTTTGGATGCAAACTTTGCACCATTGAACCAAAAAATTTGGTTTTGCACCTCTTCTTTGCAAATTACCCCTCCCCATCATGAAAACGTCACTGAAAAGGTGTTTAACTTTTAAAGTAACTTATGAAAGAAGTCAGATTCATAAGACAGCTCAGTAATCTGTTCAACAAACTCTCCTTATCTCTCCCTAAGTTAAAAGCAGACTCAAAGATGTACATGTAGCCTACATTTCAAAAGACCTTTTGTACTATACATGTACAGGCCTATAGTTTACTGTACAAAGAGATCCAACTATATCTTGTCCACACAATCATAATTCTGTTTTGGTAAATTTCAGTTATGACATCATATCGCTTGGAGAATAAAGACATCACAATACCATCTTTTTTTAGCCAAATTAAGTTTCCCAATCACTTTGATGTGTTTGTCTTCACAAGCAGAACATGGTACAGCAAACTCCCAACAAAAATTTCAAATCTGGTCTTAACTTGTAATCACGACCAAACAAACATTAAATAATCTCAGATCCCTTTGTAATGCAAAATAACAGCAAAAGACCCCATAATCTACTGTAGATCCCAAGCCATTACTGGTAACCCTCCTTTTATGAGTAAGACTTGGTCCACCTGAACATACACCCTGGCTATAGTCCTGACGAAACATGTTTAATCTCTTGTAACATTTTCCCCCATTCAAACTAAGTATGTGTGTTTGGGCTTAGCCCCATATCTACATGGCCATATTTGGATACCAGTGTACATAAATAGGGAGGTTGGTGGTGGTGGTGGTGTGACCATTTCTCTGCCTAGCACTGCTGCCATGTACAATGTACATGTATAAGAGCAGCAGATCTAACCTTGGTTGACTTACCTATACAGATGTAGGTATCCCAGAGCAGCAGTGGTATGTGTATAAAGGTACCTGTTCTAACATGGCTGCAGCCTACATTGATTACAAACCTGTCAGGCTAGTAAACTTTGTCATCTCTAGGGTGAAGTTGTAGGGGTTCAAGATGTAACTTTTTCAGCACATACATTTAATGTCTTTGATACATTTTTGCTACTTTTACGCGAATTAGAACACAATCTACATGTTAACAACAAGTTATCGTTTTTTCTAAACATGTATTTTTCACTATTAAGCATTAAAACTAGAAGGCTAAAATGGTTTGCTTACGTACATGTACATATTGAAGAAAAAAATGAATATAATCAAAGGTTATTATTTCTAATCAAAATTTTGCACATTAAAGAAATGAAAGTTTCAGTTAAATTTATCTAGATCATCCTCATGACAGAAAATATGACAAAAGAGTAAGGGAGGGGGGGAAAAAGAAGATGCCCTAAAGAAACAGAGAAGCAGCTGTCACCACCGGCCTCTTGATTTGCATATTTGTCCATAGTCAAACTTGTATTGTTTACACACACCCTATCTTAGATTTTTCTTATGAATGAATTACTAACGAGAATGCAAACCATTATAACAAGCGGGCCAGTTTCCTCTTTCAAAGATCTCTTTCATCTCGAGCCATCTTTCCTTTCGATTCCTCAGTGATAGAGATACCCGCGTCCTTTTACGATGACAATTTCGACAGGAGCTTGGGGCAATATTTCTGATACCTATCTGGGCAGGCGCAGGAGAGGGAAAAAAGTATTGATGCGCTGGATTTGCGTATCAGCTCCGGTGTGAAATTCATCAGTAATTGGATACAATACAGGACGATGTAGCAACATCTAATACATTTATGGATACTATGATTGTCACAAGATATTCAATTTTCTATTTATGTGACTTTGGTCATAGCCAGTTATACAGAACATACTGCTTTAGGTTTTCAATTATTCCTGAGAGGCAAAGTACAGCAATCAGATTTAATACCAAAATAAAGTGTCAGGCTAAACTTGTAATTTTGTTTGAAATGACTGATGACACAGTGCCCATAATTCTAGGATACATATGAATCCTACAAAGTACATGTGTAGATACATGTACACATGTATGTGTGAAAAATTATTGTCAATAAATGCTGTATTGCGCAACTGATCAAAGGGATTTCTTCCAGAATTTTCAATAAAACAATATCTAAACCTATGAGGTTTTCAATAATATTTTTTTTATAAAGATGAAGAGGATGATATATCTCTTGATACATGTAGCTGTACCACATCCCATTACTGCATGGCATTTTAGATCACTCTCTCCCTTGATCTCTATAAAAATAAGTTTAGTAGAGCAGCGTGAATCCTAAAACATTGCTACATTTCGCTTGATAAACGATGAGATAGATGGTGTGCTTCCAGATCAAACAGGCCTTTTGTAACAGTAATGGGTGAAACCTTTCACGGTCTCCATTTCTTCAATTGGCTTCTGGCCTGGATATGGCATCCATTTATCAAATCATCATTGATGCTGCTAGAGCGTTATTGTTGGGCTTTTCGCTGGATGCTTTTTGTTCCCGTATCTAGCTGTCCTTGTGACTTTTATGTCTCGCTTCTAATATCCATTGGCCACTTGGCAGAAAACATTTGGGTAGGTACATGTAGATAGCATTCAAATGTGTAACACAGATGACAAAGAGTTTGAATAGTAATCTACTTAATAAAATGCAACATTATGGAACAGCTATACCAATTATGTAATTTTTGTAAGATATTTTAATCTTGAGGCACCAGAACTGTCTATTACAGCCAATACATTTAAGACTCTTAACTACTCTTGGTCTATTTGATGTACCAATTTAAAGCAATTTTATTTGATTGCTAATTCATCATACCAGACCTAAAAGCAAACAAATTTGGGCAATAGTTTACACAAACATGGCACTCTTCTCAAAACAGAACTCAGTGGTTTGTGCAACTCTGAAAGAAACAGACGGTGAGCCTCTTCATGTCCTTTCCATTTTCCACCTCCATTCTATCCTTTCTTCTGGGAATGTCTGCAGAGTCTTTGTTCTTGTCTCTCCCAGCACTTCATCTGGCACCAGGAACAATTTTCGATAATTCACCCCTCTCTTCAATACTCCAAAGAAAACTTTACACTGGAATGCAGGTAACAATATCATGAATTACTGCGGTCTTTTCTCCCTCTCTATTCTTCCGTCGTCCCTCAAAAACCCTCGTCAATGACTACGCATTGTCTTCCATCTTTGTTTGGGTCCTTTGGAATCCCGAGCACTAAATTCTCTTGGATCTTTTCTGAGTCAGCTCCAAAAGGGCCATGATCTGTCTGTGGTCAGCTATATGCTGATTTGTGGAGAGAGTTTAAGTCCTTTAATACCTGCGACTGATCAATACATGCCTTGTTCCAATTTGCTTCAAACCCTTTCCACATATAAAGAGAGCACCAATAATTGTGCTTCATTACACCAATCAATCAATGAGCAAAAGCTGGATGTCTTTATATCTTGACATGGTGACCCACATCAGACATTTAAGTAGTAATCTATCATAATCCCATTTTCATATCATTTAAAATAACCTACATTTAACATGTAAAACTTTCCTTGCTTCTGCTCAGGGTGGTTTTGCCCCAACAAAGTACTAAAACTGCCCTTGTAAAACTTTTAATAGCCCCTGAATTTTCCTTTGATGGTCAAATTTTAAGTTAAAACTAAAATAAACTACCTTTGTATACCATCATTTTCACTGCCTCTCTAAAAATTACTAGTTGTTTTGTGCTATTAAGCTTATTAAGCTTTTAAGAGCCCCATTTGTACATTCTTTTTTTTCAAATAGGGGAGGCTTGTTGTGGATGTTGTCTATGGCTTCCACTTATAAGTCTAGACTCATTCTTATTGGTGTTTTGTGTATGCTCCTTTAAAAATCAATTTGTCTGTTAAGACATGAGAGAGAGCCAGAAGGAGATTAAAACATGTCCTTTTATAGACTTAAAGTGACTCACTAACATTGTTGAAGGTTGATGAAAAAACTGTGTACCGTAATTTGTGTATGAAATGTTATTTATTATATTCCTTCTACTGTTCTAACCCTCTAGCATGCAAAAAATCCTGAAAAAATTCTCAAACCACAAAGATATTTGTGGTTTTATTTGAAGGTGACACTGTGCGACACCCTCTAACAGTAAATTCTCCCAACTATTTTTGAAATTTCCAGATTTTTCCCAACCGTTTATCCATGAAAATAAGACATCAGACAGGCTTTTAAAAATCTTTCCAAAGTTACATGTAAATGTCTGGAATGGTATAGAGCCAATTCATTGCTTTATGCCAATTTATATTCACCTAAAATGTAATTAAATTGTAACAAAATAGCTGGGAGAATAAAGGAATTGATCATATCAGTTTTCACCAATTATTTTCATTAATAATAGTCTGTTTTCACTCAAACTTGCAGATTATCTTTCATTATTGTACATCTAGCATAATTATATTTGAAGTCACTACCTTAGCACCTGAACAATGTTACCAAGTCCCTTAACATCCTCCCAGCTCTCAACAGGTCAATTGGTTCTTATGAGCAAAAATATAAATACATGAATAAATAAGAAGAAAACAGAGAGAAGTGAATTTTTGCTTCTACCAACCTGACTTATCCCGCTGCCGCCAATGATGTTGAATCCCAGGCTGCCATCTTGGCGACCCAGACGAAGGGAGAGTATGGTAGTATTTTCCCATGGCTGTGAAGAGCAATAAATAGATTCAAAATTGCAGTGTACAGTACTGGATATAAGAAGGTAACAACATACAAGTGTACACTTTATTTATCCAATAATTTTCATTTCTTTATGAAGTACATGTATGTGCTTGCATTGCATATACATGTAGGCTACCACAATAACAAACTTCTTGGGACCAAGAAAAATAGTAACCTCATTATATTGAATACTTGATCAATACTATAAAATATAGGATAGAAACAAGTCAGACCAAAAATTTGTGTTCTTCAAAACAAACAAAATTCACATTACAGGCCTATAGGCTAGCATTAGCAGGTACATGTACATTGCACCTTTAACATAGTTAAAGTGATTCATAAACCTATTTCCATGTACACATCGGATGATGATTTTTCACAGAGGTGAATGACTTTTGTACTATGTAATACTTCTTTACAAACATACAAGTGTCATTGATTGGATACACCCAGAAGAAAATAAATGAAGACAGAAGTCACTTTATTACCAATTGTAAATTATAATCCCTAGGCCAACACAAGCTCGATTTTTTTTGTTAAGTATCCACTGCACTGTTTTGACCTTGTTTATAGTACTAATTCTGATGAACGAAAGTTACCCCTTCATTGCTAGTACTAACAAGGGATGAGCAACTCCCCAACACCACCAGAGCAATTCGCTACTTTCTTTCAAACATGGTGATTAAAGAAAACGCTCCGATGAAGCGAAGAGTAAACATCCCTCGCTCCGATACCCTTTGCTGGTCCAGAACAGTAAAATCAATTTGCAAGTTAGTAATCAATGATTGCAGGGATGGACCGTTTTTGTTAAGACACTTACTAGGTAATCAGGTCAGGTAAATGACGGCATTGATTCACTAGTGTACTTCCTTTGTATTTTCTAAAATGATATTTTAGGGTCTTCTCTACTTTTTTTAATTTAAACAATTTGTATTAGTGGGACATATCAAAATGTCTTAAATAATAATGATTGTTTTGACCTTTTTTTTTAATAGTGATATACATGTATGTACCAGCAAAGGAAAAAGAGAATATGAAGAAGACAAAAATGATCTTTTTGACACCAGAAGGGTGTTAAATCATATGGGTTTACATCCTTTAGCCTTAGGATCCGAATAGACAAAATGGTTTAAGTTTATTTTGATAAGGTTGTGAACGGCATTGATTCAATAGTGTACATGTACTTCTTTATAATTCTAAAATAATATTTTAAGGTCTTCTTTACTTTCTTTAATTTAAACAATTTGTATTAGTAGGACATATCAAAACATCTTAAATAATAATAATTGTATAGACGGTTTTTAAATAGTGATACATAAACCAGCAAAGGAAAAAGAAGACAAAGTGATCTTTTTGACACCAGAAGGGTGTTAAATCATATGGGTTTACGTCCTTTAGCCTTAGGATCCAAATAGACAAAATAGTTTAAGTTTATTTTGATAAGGTTATGAACTTTTTTTATTCTCTCAAAGAATGATAAGTCTCAAAACTATCTGGGAACATGGGAAGGACTTTAAAAGATAAACAAATAATCATGTAGTTCAAATAAGTGCTTTCCAATTAAGACATCTATTTAGTATTAAGATGCAGCTCCTTCCATTTTCTTTCACCCTTTTTCAAAAACAAAATGATCAGTTCCTAAATGGAATAGGAAATGAATCTAGACAGAGCTGAATACGAGACATTCTCTGCCTACATTAGGCATTTCATCTGGCACGAAGCTTTCAACTCCATTTAGCGTTCAAAACATCACTTCTGGTGATAAAGGTAATTCAGCATTTCAGGTGCGTGTCATAATTGTGTGATCCGACTCATAGCTGAGCAATTCTCCTTCATTTCAACTTTGAAAGGAATAGGCAAGAGAAAGTGGAAAGGCAAGTGCGACATCCAGCAGAGCCAATCGTGACGGAAATTTTGAGGTAATGTGAACAGCGGGAAACAAGTGAAATTGGTATAAGGCCTTTCCAGGGGGCTTAGGGATGGGGTCCAATTTACAAAAAAGGTATGAAAATTTACGACCAAGACATTCATCCATCTCAAGTTTAGGTAGGGTGATCAAACTTATCACCATTGCATCAAATTTATTTTAAAAAAGACCATGGTATTCTTCCAGAATGGTTGGCTCACAATATTAAATATATTTTAATGGGTTTAATAGTTACATTTCTTTCTCAAAATTTTAATTTAAAAAAATAAAATACAAATTAAAAAAAAAGAAATGTCAGTTCATAAAGTGTGTTCAAATGTATTAAATTGTGCTGTCGAAATGGAATCCTTCACTTTTCCTGTTTCACACCAGTAATCATGCCAAAGTATTATTTCAAGATCAAAACAAGATGAAAAGATAATTCCTCACCTTTTCAAATGAGGCAACAGCTGACATATATTCCATCTCGGCTTTGTTTTCATTCAGCTTCTTTTGGTATCGCAATGCCTGCATCTGAATTTCATTCTGAAGGCAGGCAATCTGTGCCAAAAGAGCTTTCTCTCTCTTTCCATATCTAAGAGAATTCTTCTTCAAATTATGTTCCTGGTTCTTCATCTTAGTCTGCAGGGCACCCGAGTGGTTTTGCAGTGCCTTGAGGCAGTCATGCTCAGATCGGGTGTTGAACTGAAGCACCAAACTGCATCCCTGCTCACAACGACCAACTGGTCTCCACTCACAGGTCTGAGTTTCATGTTGGGCCTGATCCTTGATGTTAATCACATCCTGGCATCCTTTATTGGAGCACTTGACGGGAGCGAAATCACAATCCTCCATGTGTTGGGCAAGCATCTGAATCTTGACTTCTTCAGGGCAGCCTCGGCGGAAGTTATCGCAGCGGATTTCAAGCTTGAGGATGAGATTCCGTAATGGGAGGACACTATTGAGTTCCTTGGTGGAGAACTTTTCGCACTTGAGCGGGCAGCTACCGTTTTGAACGACCCACGGCAGTACGCAATTTGAGCAGAAGACGTGGCCGCACGGTGTAGCAAGGGGATTCTCGAGTACACCAAGACAGATGCTGCATTTAAAATCCTCGTCCACCGGGCCAGAAAACCGATCTATATCAAACCCCATGATCAGTTTCGCCTCGAAAACAATTACAGCCAATCTTTGGCTTCACAACAGAGCTCTGTCTCCTTGCACAGGGCCTCGTTGAAATAATATACTACACGTAATTTCCGTATAATCAATCCAAGATATAGCGAGGACACAGCGAAGAAAACAAGCAAAGGTACCGGAGCCGCAGCGCTAGCGATACCACTCATGCACGACACCGTATGTGTTATGCTTCCAGCCTAGCTAGCTCGGTTATCGAAGCAAACATAATGCTGCCAATGGTGAATGAATGGGCGTCTGGCTCGCCATTCTATTGGATGACCCAACTCGGCGAACAATGGACGATTCTCGATGGTGATTGGTTGAAGGGAAGTCGTGCTGCCAAACTTTAGCGGCTTCTTTGATGTGGAGCCCGTTTTGACCTGGGCTCGCTCCGATCTCTAATTACATGCAAAGAACGGGACACCAAAACATTCACCCCTTGCTCTTCGCCGACAAAAGAGCGAAGAGGTGTAAAATTTGCCTCTTGTAAACAATTACTGGAGAATTACACACAAATGTGTAAAAACTTGTGCATCCTTTGTGTCTGTCTTGTAGTCATAAAAGGAGGCGGTCAAGTGATATATCGGTGATAATATTTGACGGTTCAAATCGAATTCAGGTGAATCAACCTCGGATGTCAGGGAAAGGTCGTCTGCGAAAAGACCACGTTTAGTAATGGAATGTTGATAAGAACTTCAGGAAAACATGATTTTGTTTCCAGTCTCCATGAAAAGAGATCTTTTCTTTTCAGAAAATGCATAGAAAATCCTTTTTGATAACTTATATAAACTAGATAAAAAGCTATCTCTGACAGATGATTGTAGGCTATATTCATTTTAAAGGCCTATATCTATAAAAAAATTAAAAATTAAAACAAAATTTTAAAAAATCCCCCCCCCCCTTCTCTCTCTCTCTCTCTCTCTCTATCGATTAAACGATTTACAAATAACAAGTAATAAGTTAATTTATATAAAGGAAGTAAATAATATAAACAGAAAGACAAAATATTGAAATAAAGCAGACTAATATTAGTTACTAATGTTTTAAACATGTTATAAGTATGTGAATCTCAAATCGGCAGTTTGATAGTGGATTGTGAAGTATTCGCGATTAACTCCCGTTTGGCGTGTACAAAAATATCATTAATTTCTGTTTTCCTCCTAAGTCACTACGCAAAAGATGTAATGGATAGCATAATAATTGTTATTATAGATCATCTAAAGAAAAAAGACCCTCCTGTGCCATACATTTTTGAAAAGTTGAAATTTGTGTCATTTTGTGTTGGAACAAATGGGAAAGTTGTCCGCCACTACATCATAAAGACATTACCATTATCAGCTAATTTGAAGAGCACATACATAATTATAGTGACTACAACTTTCAAAGTTCAGGGTTTTCCATTTTTTTTTGTCCGATTTTATTCAAACTTCCACCAGTCTACTTCACTGATTTGTCTGCTTTCCTCTAGACTAGTTTTATTTGCTTTCAAGGTTGAATTTCCCTTATATAATGATAACACTCACATGACCGTGATCACGATGTCAACAAGGGAATACAATTATTCCTTTTTTTATTTTTTTTATTTAGAGCAAACTATCATAAACCATCTTCACCTTCAAAATTAATCAATGCAGAAACTAACAATTCTATATGCTATTAAACATAATAATGACCTATTTCCACATACAAATTAAAATTGATAATCTTAAGGGTATAGTTTTGGAAATGCCCCCTCTCAAAAAATGAAATGGAAGCCCTTATTACCAATCATTGTGAAAGAATATGTTTTGACTAATACGTGATCATACAAATTTTCCCGGGAAACCGCCTACTATTCATTGATATATTTAGTAAATTATTATATCTATCCAGTCCTTAGATAATAATAATAATTTATCGCGTAGTACCATATACATCTTTCTGTGTACAGTGCATGTAACTTTACCAAAACTGGGCCAAATTTCTTATCATTTTGATGATTCCAGAACCTTGCAGTACACACCAATACTTATGATCAACCTGTTCTGATCGATTCCACAACGTTTCTTTCACAATGCAATAGCATGACCATAACTGTTCGTTATCTTTAACAAAATATATTTCAAAAACTGCACCGTCTACATGCATTAGGAACTATTCTAATACTTACATTTCAGGGATGAGAAGAAGATGTTCACAACAATACAATAATGTATCTACAAATAAATTGACATAATAATACTTATAATAATAGCGGCTTCCTATCTAGCGCACATGCCCGTCACGTCGTGAGGCCTCTGGCGCTTCAACTGTATACCCCGGTCATAGCTGGCAGCCAATTATGTAGCGCTTTGGCATATCAGGTACCTATTAACACCTGGGTGGGGAGTGGCAAAAGTGGATTAATGTGGATTAAAATCATGCTCTTTCTTGAACTCATTAGGGACAAGATGATAAATCCCAGCGGCTCGGTGTATTCAAAATCTACCAGAACGATCTCGTCAGTTGAGAACTAGAAAGGCATAAACTAATTTGAAGATGAACTTCTGCTTCTCTCGTGGTAGAAAAACCCCGAAACAAAAACTGGACAATGACCAGCATCCATCCAACCATGCATCGACGCGTGCTCATATCTTGTCATGTCCATTTCATTCTCCACGCTTGAGTGCACCCGATAATGACCGTCGTGTTTAGAGGAGTGTATCTTTTAGTCTATAAATACAGGCATCATATTTTCGAGTTTTTCTTATTTTCAATATATTTTGATAGTTGACTAGAACAAATTAAAATCACATGAAAGCTGTGAAGCATATTTAGGCCATTCAAAATAATGAGTAATTTTTTTTACTGGTTGCTGCTCGATTTCGGTTCCAATTTTTCACGTTCTTGTTACAACACTAACACCACAATGGTGATGTGTGTCTGGAAATTGAAATCTAGTATACTGAAAGTGATTTTTGTGGGTATTCAGGGGAGGTTCATAATGATAAAATGAATGTTTGATTAGTTACACTCCGTTGGTTTGATGGCTTTGAAATCACGAAAATGACCTTTCTTTTGCCCTGGACAACACAAAGGGGTTTTCACTCTTATGCCTGTTTTAATGGCGAGATTTGACATTGTTATCATAATCTTCCTTTAAATTCCATAGTTCACAATGTTAATGTAAAGATGTATTTCTCATCTTTTTAGGGATGGCTGAGAAAAAGGAAAGAAATTTAAAAAGCATTTCCCAGTTTTTTGTTTGTTTTTGTTTTGTTAGGGGGCTGTTAGTATGGGATCTTTGGGACATTGATGAAGACGGCATAGCTAGCTTTCCATTCTTAAAAGTGATATTACTATAAATTTACCTTTGCAATCACAATTTTTACAATTCACTCGAAAACTTATCACGAAGCAGTATTGAAAATTTAATCAATACTCATTTTCCAATCTAAACATTTATCATGTTTTGATCGATAAGATAATGTTTTTATTTTAACTTTTATTCACTACACTGTACCAAGTTTTTGTACTCTCATTTGTATCAACGATTTGCCCTTTCTTCCTTCCTTTATGCACCCTGTGATTTTACTGAGAATAAGTACAAACAGGAAGTCAAATTTGTTTAAAACTATAATTACCCGAAACTTGATCATCTTGGATGGAAAGTGAGACCAGTCGCTTTTTAGAAATAATTATTGCTCGTGAAGGAAAACAAACAAGACCCACGCAAATACAAAGCCTAGTTCAAGTTGGTGGCATTCAATGTGAACAAATTTGAGCAAAACAGCGTAAATGAATCCCGAAGGGTCAATAAAGGTCCCCCTACTCCACCAGTCAATGACCTCTTATACCAGAAAAGCGGTCATAATTAGGCCTGGATTGCCCCCTTCCTGAGGGGTCTTTTCCATTCCATTTGCTATAGTGAATTAGCTAATCGTTTGATTGCCTCGCGATCTGTTTTGTTTTTATACCGTCACCCAGAGGAAAACCACAACACACCCACCCAGTTTGATATATTGCATCTTTTCCACCAAAAAAAAATCGCTTATGTTTTCACTATATTCATAGCCCTGGAAGTTCCGAGTTAGATTCGCGTTTGTTTTCGGAGATAAGCACATTGCGCGCCGAAGTGTCCATAATTTTGAAAGCGAGGGGCATTTCCAAGTGAGAGTTGTTTTCTTTCGGTTTTAGTATGCACACACCCCTTTCTCAAAATATTATAGATGGATTGTGTGACATAATACGCTATCAAAGAGTCACAATTTAATTGTAGGGTTTGGCTTTCGACCTGTCATCAAACGAGAATTCCCTTTTTCCCCCTGTAGTATCACACCCTCTCTGCCTGGATAGTAGCCAGCCTTCCCCTCTCAACCGTTGTCACCTAAAGTTGCACTTCCCTAAATGGAAAAATCAAGGATCATTCGATATAATCTTTCAAAATATAACATCCTGGGTTTATCGACGACGTCTCTATGCCTTGAATACCACGGTCATTGGATTTAGGCTCTCCCGCGCTCACTCAATGTTCGCACATACTCCACTCCCTGGGGAGCATTCCAGCCAGGCGCCATTTACAGACGCTCACAATGTTGAGCAAACTACAATGACTTTCGCATCCTAATGAGTACACATTTAACACCTAGGTGGAGAGTGGCAAATGTGGATAATAGGACGTTGGTGTCATGCTGGGATTCGAACCCTCAACATTATGATTGAAACTCAAGTGCCTATACCAAGACACCTCTCTCATCCCTTTACCTGGGGATTTCAATATATTGGGATTTGACATTAACCGTGCTGGGCATACTGCGACGTCCGTCAAGGGTGTATGTGTTGTCCTTGACTATTCTACCTCACCAGCCCCCTGTTGTGTCAATGACAGGACTTAATGAGAGGGTTGATGAGGGTTGGTGACCCAATTAAAGTGACCACTCATCCGAGTTAGAAGGTTCAATTCTGATTTGCTCAGACACTTCTTGATATATTGAGTCGATATTGATCATACCACACACTTGTCTATAGATTATTGATCATCGGATTCTAGCGGAAGCACAATTTGTTGATTGGGACCTGGTAATCCAGGGGTTAGACGCAAAATGGGGAAGGTATAAGTTAACTAGCTCGTAACTTTAACTTATGCATTAATTTCTCTGCCCAAAATGTAGCATCGATTGCATGGCTAGTGAAATTTTGACGAAATATCAAAAGTGCTATGAGTAGCCCCAATACCATTATTATCATTATCTTTATTTTCATTTTTGT